CATGGTGGTGCGTGCCTGTAATCCCAGCTACTCAGGAGGCTGAGGCGGGAGAATTGCCTGAACCCAGGAGGCGGAGGTTGCGGTGAGCCGAGATCACGCCATTGCACTCCAGCCTGGGTAACAAGAGCGAAACTCCGTCTCAAAAAAAAAAAGAAAGAACTTGTTAATCAAGATGAATATTTAGTTCAGTATTAAGATTTCAGCTGGGCACAGTAGCTCACGCCTATAATCCCAGCACTTTGGAAGGCTGAGGTGGGTATATCACTTGAACCCAGGAGTTCAAGACCCGCCTGGGCATGCTGAAAACCTGTCTCCACACAAACAAAAAATTAGCTGGGTGTGGTATCACATGCCTGTAGTTCCAGCTACTTGGGAGGCTGAGGCTGGAGAATCACTTGAACCTGGGAGGCAGAGGTTGCGGTGAGCCAAGATCATCCCATTGCACTCCAGCTTGGGTAACGAGTGAAACTCTGTCTCAAAAAAAGGATGGCCAAGCTCCATGGCTCACCCTTGTAATCCCAGCGCTTTTGGAGGCCAAGGTGGGCAGATCATGGAGTCAAGAAATCGAGACCATCCCGGCCAACATGGTGAAACCCCATCTCTACTAAAAATATAAAAATTAGCTGGGCATGGTGGCACACGCCCATAGTCCCAGCTACTTGGGAGGCTGAAGCAGGAGAATCACTTGAACCTGGGAGGCAGAGGTTGCAGTGAGCAGAGACTGCACCACTGCACTCCAGCCTGGGCAACAGAGCAAGACTCTGTCTCAAAAAAAAGGATTTCAGATGCATAAAGTGAGTAAACAAGGCAGGGAAAAGTAAGATGTCTTTGGCGTCATACTGATATAATAACATATATGGACAGACATATAATTCTCCCACAGTTTTTAAATACTTGCATATATATAATTTGCATCTTTCTTTTGCTGGGACTTTTTTTTTTAACCATTTAAAACTGTACTGTGTGTCTATCCAAGCTCAAAAGCAGAAAATGGGAGCCTTCTCAAATATACTTACTTTTAGCATAATGTCTAAAGTAGTGCCATCACCATGCTTCAAAACAGTCAGATAGACCTACAAGAGAATACAGGGACAAAAAAGAAGTTATTTGATTAAATGTGCCTTGTTTCAAATATTCTAATGCTAAGAAAAGACAGAAAGCAAGTAAAAAATATTATAAATATTGGCCAGCTATGGTGGTTCACGCTTGTAATCCTTGCACTTTGGAAGGCTGAAGATGTCAGATCACCTGAGGTGAGGAATTCAAGGCCAGCCTGACCAACATGGCGAAACCCTGTCTCTACTAAAAATACATAAATTAGCCAGGCGTGGTAGCAGGTGCCTGTAATCCCAGCTACTCAAGAGGCTGAGGCAGGGAGAACTGCTTGAACCCAGGAGGTGGAGGCTGCAGTGAGCGATCATCTCACCACTGTCTCTAACCTGGGTGACAAAATGAGACTCTGTCTCAAAAAAAAAAAAACCTAAGTATTATAAATGTGGATGTTACAAACAAACTGTAGTAAGGAGCTAGAAGTCCTGTGAGGAACCACAAAGGTAAATGCCATGTCGTACCAGCAAGGAGCTCTCAGGGGAATGTGCACAGCTCTTCACCTTTCAGCACTGCAATGCTGATTGAGAAACTGTAAACAAATAAGAAGCTGGCTATAAACCACCTAAATGATATATATTAAAATCGTCAGATATGGTTGTGGATCAGTTCTTAGGTTAGTTTTGGCTGCTAAAAAAAGTTCCATGCTTCACAGAATGATGTCGTTACCTATAAGTCAAGGGAATTTATTATGGAAACCTACAGGACTCCTCAGATCAGCGGAGAGAATCTGTTTTCCTTCCACGTGGTCCTTAAATCGTCGACGGGCTTCTTCTAACGTTGCCTTATGTCCTGCTTTTCCTAGTTTTCCCAGAACCAAGCCCCTCAAGAGTGCATCTAGATGACCTGATTTGAGAAGTAAAAGAGACATAAGACTAGTTAAAAAGCCTATTTTTATAAATTTGCCACCTTGATACCTTATAATTGTGCTAGACCAGTTCTATGGTCTTGAACAAACACACTCAATTACCTTACACCTGGGAAAATACTTGTTTTACATTTATCAAATCAGAAGAATGAAATACTAAACAGACTAGACAAGCAAAGTAGCTGACTTTACAGTCACATATGCCAACTATCTGAATTTACTAAATGTTTACTCAGTCTAGTTCACTACTCTGCTAAGGATTACGTGTGAAAAGGACAGGCTTACATCATGCAGTTTTGACCCAAGGTTCAGAGAATGATCACATATGGAACTAGTATACTCTATGTATAATAAATTGAAATCTTAGATTTTAAAAATGAAAATCTGATGGGTACATTCTTCCAAAGACACACAAATAGCCAATAAGCACATAAAAATGTTTAACATCATCAGTCATTAGGAAAATGCAAATCAAAACCCACAATGAGATATCAATTCATACCCACTATGATGGCTATAATAAAAAGGATAATAGCAAGTGTTGGCAAGGATGTGAAGAAACTGGAACCTTCAAACACTGCTGGTGGGAATACAATGTGGTGTAGCTACTTAGAAAATTAGTCTGGCGGCCAGGCACAGTAGGCTGTAATCCCAGCACTTTGGGAGGCCAAGGTGGGCAGATCGCCTGAGGTTGAGAGTTCGGCACTAGCCCGACCAACATGGAGAAACCCCATTTCTATTAAAAATACAAAAAAATTAGCTGGGTATGGTGGCACATGCCTATAATCCCAGCTACTCAGGACACTGAGGCAGGAGAATCACTTGAACCTGGGAGGTGGAAGCTGCAGCAAGCTGAGATCACACCACTGCACTCCAGCCTAGGCAACAAGAGCAAAACTCCATCTCAAAAAAAGAAATCAGTCTGGCAGTCCCTCAAAAGGTTAAACATACAGTTATGGCTGGCACAGTAGCTCATGTCTCTAATCCCAGCACTTTGGGAGGCCAAGGCAAGACAGGAGTTCAAAACCAGTGTGGGCAACAGCAGGACCCTGTTTCTACAAAAAAAAATACTTAAAAATTGGACCAGGCATGGTGGCTTATACCTGTAATCCCACCACTTTGGGAGGCCGAGGTGGGCAGATCACAAGGTCAGGAGTTCGAGAGCAGCCTGGCCAACGTGGTGAAACCCCGTCTCTACTAAAAATACAAAAAATTAGCTGGGTATGGTGGCAGGCACCTGTAATCACAGCTCCTCCGGAAGCTGAGGCAGGAAAATCGCTTGAACCGGGAGATAGAGGTTGCAGTGTGCCGAGACCGTACCACTGCACTCCAGCCCTGGGCAACAGAGTGAGACTCCATGTCAAAAAAAAAAAAAACTTAAAAATTAACCAGGCACGGTGGCATGTGTCTGTAGGCCCAGTTACATAGGAGGCTAGGGAGGTAGGAGTGCTTGAGCACTGGAGGTTGAGGCTGCAAGGAGGTTGAAACTGCAGTGAGCTATGATCACACTATTGTACTCCAGCCTGGGCACAGAGCAAGACCCTAAGACCCTGTCTCTCTTTTTTTCTTGAGACAAGGTCTTGCTCTGTCGCCCAGGATGGAGTGCAGTGGCACAATCTCGGCTCACTGCAGCCTCCGCCTCCCAGGTTCAAGCAATTCTCCACCTCAGCTTCCCAAGTAGCTGGGATTATAGGCGTACACCACCATGCCCGGCTAATTTTTGCATTTTTAGTAGAGACAGGGTTTTGCCATGTTGGCCAGGCTGGTCTTGAACTCCTGAACTCAGGTGATCCACCCACCTTAGCCTCCCAAAGCGCTGGGATTATAGGCGTGAGCCACCATGCCCAGCTGACCTTAAAAAAGAAACAAAAAGAAGGCCGGGCGCGGTGGCTCAAGCCTGTAATCCCAGCACTTTGAGAGGCCGAGGCAGGCAGATCACGAGGTCAGAAGATCGAGACCATCCTGGCCAACATGGTGAAACCCCCATCTCAACTAAAACACAAAAAATTAGCTGGGTGTGGTGGCAGGTGCCTGCAGTCCCAGCTACTCGGGAGGCTGAGGCAGAACCCGGGAGGCAGAGTTACCACTGAGCTGAGATTTCGCCACTACACTCCAGCCTGGTGAAAGAATGAGACTCCTTCTCAATTAAAAAAAAAAAGAAAGAAAAAAAACATAGAGTCATCATACGACTCAGCAATTTCACTCTTAGGTATATATCCAAAACAAATGAAAGCATGTGTCTAAACAAAAACTTGTATATAAATGTGCATAGCAGACTTCATAATAGCCAAAAAGTGGGACCAGTCCACATGTCCATCAACTAGTAGATAAACAAAATGTGCTATATAGCTATACAATGGAATATTATTCACCTATAAAAAGGAATGAAGGACTGATACGTTCTACAACATAGATGAAACTTGAAAATATGCTAAGTGAAAGCAGCAAATATAAAAGGTCAAGTATTTTATGAATCCATCTATATGAAATGTTCAGAATAGGCAAACTCGGGAAACAGAAAGTAAATTTGTGGTTGCCAGGAAATGGAGAGTGACTGCCAGTGAGTACAAGCCTTTTTGGGGGGAAAGGGGATGAATGGGGAGGGTAAAGAAATTATTCTGGAATTACAGAGGTGATGGTTGCACAATCTTGTAAACATACTAACAAATACTGAATTGTATACTTTAAAAGGGTGAATTTTATGGCATATGAATTATATCTCAAAAACAGTTAACATCCAGGCAATAAATGATTGAGAAGAAAAAGTTAACAGCACACAAATCTGATGAATTGCAGCAATACAATGGACAAATAAAATGTCGTATATTCGTATGATGAAATACTACTCAGCAATAAAAAGTAATGAATAACCTGGCTATATCTCAGAAACACTATGCTGAGTGAGAAAGGCCAGGTATAAGAACAGAACACACATATGATTCTACTTATATAAAATAGAAGAGATAAATATTATTCTAGGGTGGAAGAAATCAGAATAGCATGTGCCTGTGTGGGGTGGGCAGGGGAGGCCCAAGTGGCAGGGACCAATTAGGAAGGAGCCTCAGGCAGCTTTCTGGGTGATGGAAATGTGGTATATGTTTGCTGAAAGTCATGGAACTGTAACATTTAGATTATGCATTTTTCTATATTTAGATCATAATTTAACCAAAAATAATTTTAAGAAAACCATCAGAAATCAATAGATAATACAACTACACACTATTGTGATGATTCTTATAAGAAGTAATTTATAATTCTGGCTCTGGTACTAACATGCTGTGTGATACAAGGCAACATTTTATTATTTTGCCATGTTTCATGCTCTCATCTGTATAGCTAAGAAACTGAAGGCATTCTCCCTATATTGTAAAGATAGTTTTGAAGTCATAAAGTGTCATGTTATCATCATGAAAGAAAAGGGCAACATCCACTAATTTACCTGGATCTGTGTCCATGTACTTCCTCCTATCTTGTCACCATTCATCTGTGCTCCTATCTAAAGCCAACTCCTTAACTTCTGCACTGGATCTCAACTCCTCTTGATTATTCAGCTGTCACTATAGCGATAACCCCTCTCCCTCACATGAATTTTTCCATTACTACTGCATTATGTTCAAATAGAAGCAGAAAAATGTAATATAAAATCTCCCAACTTAAAAGTTCCTTCCTTTGCCCCACTTCTCTCTGTCTACCCCTTTTCTCTGATCTTCTCAGCAAAAGTCTCCATATGCTCTCCTCCCATTCTAGAAAACCTGCTCCAAAAGTGAAGAATTCACTATTGTTCCCCACTACTCCACAAAACTTGTTAAATGCAATAATAAATTAGCCTTCATCATTCTGTTTGACTTAGTGTAGCATCCGACACAGCTGATCACATTCCCTCTGCCTTCATCTAGGGTTTCTTTAAATTCTGGGATACCTTCTATCTCTCGGCTCTCCTTCCATCTCACTGGCTAGTCTGTCTCATTTGCTGATTCTTCCTCTTCTACACAATCTCTAAATTCTGAACTCCGACTCTTCACTTATACTCAGTCCCTAGTTGATCTCATCAAGTTTTGTTTTGTTTTTTTAAAGACATGAGGTCTCACTACATTACCTATGCTGGTCTTGAACTCCAGGACTCAAGCAATTCTCCTGCCTCAGCCTCCTGAGTAGCTAGATTACAGGTGTGAGCTACCATGCATGACATGATTCCCACCACCCCCTACTTTTTTTTTTTTTTTTTCAGATGGAGTCTCACTCTGTTGCCCAGGCTGGAATGCAATGGTGTGATTGCACACTGCAACCTCTGCCTCCCAGTTTAAGTGAGTCTCCTGCTTCAGCCTCCCGAGTAGCTGGGACTACAGGTGTGCCCCACCAAGGCCAGCTAATTTTGTATTTTTAGTAGAGATGGGGTTTCACCATGTTGGCCAGGCTGGTATCAAGCTCCTGACCTCAGGTGATCCACCCACCTGAGCCTCCCAAAGTAAGCCACCATGCCTGGCCCCTGGTTCCCTTTTACATCCAAATATGCTTCTATGCCAGGCACAGTGCCTCATGGCTATAATCCCAGCACTTTGGGATGCTGAAGTGGGAGAATTTCTTGAGCCTGGGAGTTCAAGACCAGCCTAGACAACATAGTGAGATCCAGTCTCTACAAAAAAACATAGCTGGGTATGATGCATGCCTGTAGTCCCAAATACTCAGAAGGCTGAGGTGGAAGGATAGCTTAAGCCCAGGATTTTGAGGCTGCAGTGAGGTATGATTGTACCACTGCACTCCAGCCTAGGTAACAGAGCGAGACTCTGTGTCTTTAAAGGAAAATACGTTTCTACAGCAGTCTTCCCTATCCCTGTACAGGACAACTTCATTCTTCCAGTTCTGCAGGCCAAAATTTCATGACATTTTCTTTCCACCACACAGTCCATCCTTCACCAAATAATTTCAGTTCCACCTTAAACATATACAGAGCTTACAACCTGTAAGTGCTAGTTGCAACCAGCTTCAACCGGATTGCTGAAACAGCCTTCTGAATGGTCTCCTTTGCTTCCTCTGTTTTCTTAGTCTGTTCTTCAGAAAGCCAAGTAAATCAAATCATGTTCCCCTGCCCAAAACTCTCTAATTAGCATGTCATATCACTAAATGTAAAAGTCAAAAAACTTCTCACTGTAGCCCACAGGTTCTATAGGATCTGAACTATCTTCCTTTCCCCCTCATTTACTCCTGTCCTGACCTCAGCAGTTTTCTTCTTATTCTTTGAATACCCTAAGCATGCTCCCAATATCACCTTATTAGACAGTTTCCCCACACACTTTCTATAAAATAGTGGCCTAGCACTCCCTTTTTTTTTTTTTTCCCCAAGATGGGGTTTCATCATGATGGCCAGGCTGGTCAACTCCTGACCTCAGGTGATCCACCTACCTCAGCCTCCCAAAGTGCTACGATTACAGGCGTGAGCCACCACTCCTGGCCAGCACTCCTTATTACCTGATGCCTTTATTTTTCTTAATGATACTTCCTGCCACCTAGACCATTATATATTTAATTGTTTGCTAGGTCTCCTATTAGAATGTAAGCCATATAAGGCAATATTTGGGTTGCTGCTGTATCACCAGCTCTTAGAATAGTATATGGTATTTACTAGCTATATAAATACTTGTTGAATCAATGAAGAAAAGACACAGAAGCTGGGCCAATACCAGCACTTTGAGCGGTGGAGATGGGCATATCACTTGAGGCCAGGAGTTCAAGACTAGCCTGGCCAACATGGCAAAACCCCGTCTCTACTAAAAATACAAAAATTAGCCAGGTGTGGTGGTATGCACCTGTAATCCCAGCTACTCGAGATGCTGAGGCAGGAGAACTGCTTGAACCCTGGAGGCAGAGGTTGCAGTGAGCCTGAGATGGCGCCACTGCATTCCAGCCTGGATGACAAGAGCAAAACTCCGTTTCAAAAAAAAAAGATAAGACATAGAGTTCTAGATATTGCTACTATTTTTATTACAAAAGACACCCAGATCAAGACTGGTCAGGAGGAAACACCACCTTTAGTTATTAGCAGATGACAGAAAATAATGATATGTAAAGCCTTTAAACCATCATTCCCAATATTTAAATGAGAGCAAAAAGAGTAAATATATGCTTATAGAAATAATCACAGAGCAGAGAACACATGTAGAAAGCAAATAATTACCTTAATTCAGAAAGCTGACCCCTGTGTCTCTCAGCACCTTTACAAGTTATACATAAAGGTACCTGGTATTTATACTAATAAATAAAACTTGGGAGGCCGAGGTGGGGCAGACCACCTGAGGTCAGGAGTTCAAGACCAGCCTGACCAACATGGAGAAACCCCCATCTCTACTAAAAATACAAAATTAGCTGGGCATGGTGGTGCATGCCTGTAATCCCAGCTACTCAGGAGGCTGAGGCAGGAGAATCACTTGAACCGGGAAGGTAGAGGTTGCAGTGAGCCAAGATCATGCCATTACACTCCAGCCTGGACAACAAGAGTGAAATTCTGTCTTAAATAAATAAATAAATAAACATAAAATTCCCTTTAGCTTTTCTTGGGTATAAACAGGCCTTTGGAATTCTGCAAAAGACTTTTATTTCCACCATGTACACAAATTATATTCAGTAATGAACATACATAACCACTACTGTTTCTATGTTGGTGACCCATGTAACTTCACCAACCAACTTAAAAGACTTAAGTCTTAATTTATGGCTTACTGATTATACAATAACATCCAGTAGATACAAAGATGATATTAATTATATTGTTAACCACATAAAAAGGTACCAACTTCTGCCTAATTCTTTCTTCATTTAGTATATTCATTACCTTCTCCAGGTTTGGGGTCCCAGCCCAGTCTCTCCCCTATAGGTGAAAAGACATCTTTCACAAACTCCTGGATTTCCTCATAGAAGTCTGTGTGGGACAAGAGAGTTGAGAGAATCCCCAGGTTACAGCTCAGGTCGCTCCATACAGTATAATTGGGCTCATTCACAAAAGCCTCCATGACTTTTAGAACCTCTACAGTGCTAATGATTCCAGCTCGAGCCTGGGATAGGAAAAAACATAAATTAACCTAGTCTTCAAACAAAACAAAAAAACATTAAGCATGCATTTTTGGCATTATTTACTGCTAGCAATTTCTTTGGTTTAAGGAAATGGGACTGTATAAGCTCAGAACACTGTTAGAATAAAAATCCTATTCAAACATTTCTTCTTTACTCCTTTGCTTTTTTTTTTTTTTTTTTTAACAGAAAAAATAGAATGAATCATTTGCTATTTATACAAGAACTACTTTAAAAAACTGCAAAAATAGTTTGAGCTTTGGTTATTGACAGAGGTTCTTTCAAAGCCGGACCTGCAAACTGTGTCAACTTAAGCCTCTCCTTTACTCATTTCTAAAAGAACATAAACTAGAAGGCACTACAAATTCAAAGTCCTTTCAGAACTAACAGAGTTAGGAAAAAGAACTTCTGTTACAGCAGCCAACTGCACAAACAGCTCACTCTCCTGGGACAGGTCTCTCAGCAATTAGATCAGCAGATGTGAGGTTTTGTGCATCAATGCTAATCTGTGTTTATACAAAGGCGGAATACAAAACCAATGAATGCAGAGGGGAAGAAAAATTTCCAGTCCAACTTAAAGGAATACTAGGAGGAATATGACAATTTTATCACAAAGACATCTGAAAATTACCTAACCTATGCTGAAGTCATAAAGAAAATAATACTAATTGCTGCTTTAAATCCTTTCTGGAAGAAAGCCAAATATAAATATAATTCTAAAGCTAATGGGATATAATTTGAAATAAGAACACAATGTTTAAAAATTCTAGTTTTCCCAGCAAAGTACAACCACTATTTAGAAAAACATAAAATCACTCTGTATTAATTATTTTAAAAACATATTAGTAGGGAAATTTCTTCAAGGCTCATATTTATTTCTACTGAAAAGAAAGGAATTTTTGCCTTACAAGGGATAGTTTAATTAAGACTTGCAGAAAGCTGGCTTAGGAGTAATGCAATGGGATTTAAATTATATAGCCTTAATCTTGTCATATTAATTAAAAATTAGTCATTTGCTATAGTCCCAAAGGTGTTTTTAACCTTCACAAAGACCCATATTCTTCTAATTATGTTTCAGACACTCCAGGAAAAACACAATCTTTTAATCAACAAAATCCATCATACTACTTAAGTCACAGATGCTCACCAAGGAGAAGAGGTCATTCTGTAATCCAAGTCGATCCACAGGGGGCAGAGAAAGGTCACGAATGCCTGGTAATAAACTTTCCAACATGGCAGAGCTGTACTGGGTCCGATAAAACCCAACTGTTCCTAAGTTTAACTGCAAAGATATCCAGTAAGTACCATTAAACAGCTCCATTAATTTTAAAAATCAACCTTTTGTATGTTTAAAAGGAGTTCTGGTTTTAGATATATCTGGATAAAAAACAATTAAAACCATCTATGCCAACTAATGGAGTAAAACAAGACAACACATAAAGATAGGATGAACACACAGACAAAAGAAAAGGGAAACTTGAAATTGTGGGGACCAATGTGAGGAACAGTAGAAAGAACATGGAATGACAAAATAATGTGGATAAATTTTTATTTCTAACATCAGTTTTAGGTTTACAGAAAATACTTAATATATATGAAAACACTTGGACAGTGGAATCTCTGAAAGATTAGGCCTTTATAAACATTGATCTATTAAGCCCAGAGACTCAACAGAATAACAGTTTTCAGATCTCAATTTTAAATAATTACATGGTAAAAGGCAATTTCATAAGATTTTTGGAGTGAGGTAATTACTGACTGCATTATTCTCTCTTTTTTTTTTTTTTTGAGATGGAGTCTCACTCTGTCGCCCAGGCTGGAGGACAGTGGCGTGATCTCAGCTTATTGCAACCTCCACCTCCCAAGTTCAAATGATTCTCCTGCCTCAGCCTCCCAAGTAGCTGGGATTATAGGCACCCGCCACCACACCCAGCTAATTTTTGTATTTTCAGTAGCAACAGGGTTTCACCATGTTGGCCAGGTTGGTCTCGAACTCCTGACCTCAAGTAATCTACCTGTCTCAGCCTCCCAAAGTGTTGGGATTACCAACACTTTGTGCCTGGCAACTGCATTACTCTCTACAGGCTATTTACCAATAGCCAAAAATATTTTTGAGAACATTTATATTCAAAATAGTTTAATGGTAAAACAATAAGACACAAGTATTTTACTCTTTATATATAAATATTTTAAAAACCACTCCTACAATTTTAATGCAACTATCACCTTACTGATTCCCTTTACTTAACCTAATCAAAATTGTAGTGTACATACAACTTATTTCTCATTTATAAGAAATTTTTCATATTGCTACAACATAATCTTCCAGATTATAATTTCAAATGGTAATATAATATTCGAGTAAGTATATTTTAAATGTATATTTAAAAAATTTTAAAAAGCCAGACATGGTGGCTCATGCCTACAATTCCAACTACTCCAGAGCCTGAGGTGGGAGGAACACATGAGCCTAGGAGTTTGATCATTTTCCTTTTTTGTTTTTTTTGTTTGTTTGTTTTTGAGCCTAGGAGTTTGAATCCAGCCTAAGCAACATAGTGAAACCCCCATCTCCAAAAAAAAAAAAAAAAAAAAAAAATCCATAAACGAGAAAAATGGCCTTTTTAAAAAAAAAAAAGCACAAATGTCTGATACAATGTATAATTCCTATTAGAAACACACAATTATAAGAAGAGTTTGTAGTATATACTTTCATTATGAAAGGTACAGAGTACAGAATAATGAGAAATAATTCTTACCTATTGGTATTTTTGTGAAATGGTTTTAAAACACCAGCTAAGGAATTTTACATTTCAGTGATACAAACCGATTATTATATATGTCTGCTCTCACTAGATTATAGGTGTACACATATGCTGACAACACATCACTGAAGCTAACCTTTCATTACAATGACAGGGCAGTTTGAAAGTGTGAGACTACAAATTATTTGGTTCATACAAACTTATACTCAGTCTACGTGTTTTTTTTTTTCTCCTTAGTCCTATGCCTTTGGAGCTGCTTCTCTACCACTACCTTCCCTAACATAAGGACAAATGTTTGGATGATATTATTTGACAACTGGTCCTAAATTTCACAAAGAAAAGTTTAGGTTTTTTTTTTTTTTAAACTACTAGTCTAAACTGAAGCAGAATTTAAAGCCAGCCATAAAATGAATAAATTAAGTGACAGAAATCTGTTTAGGTAAGATTCTAGACTCACCTTCACCCATTGGTCTGGTTTGACATTTTTCAAAACCACATTCATCTCTGGCTTGTCCATTAGAATTTTTAGTTTGGCCTGGTTGGGATCTTCACTAGTAGAGATTGTGATAGGGACCATCCACTGGGGACAATCTTCACCTAAGCAAGAAACGAACAAATAGAAAACTTGAAAAATAATTTTGCACTGGGACAAACAGACGGTAAGGTGGAGAGAGGAGTAGTGTTGTCCTAACCAGGAGCTTAAGCCTAACTGTCAAGCCAATAGCTCATTCCTAGTGGTACGTGAACTTTTCCAGATAACCTGAATAACATTAGTGCAAAGGAAGGGATAATTTACTAACAAAATCACAACATGTCTAAAAAAAGAAAACAGTTAACTCATTTGTATAATCACAAATGCAATGATTTAAGCTTAATTATCATTTTCCCCTTACAGAGCAAGAGCAAAGACAGCAATGATTTTATTGTTAAAGTAAATTGTGAATAGGTAAAGGCTCTCACATAGCATTTATATATATATATATATATATTTTTTTTTTTTTTTTTTTTTTTTTTTTTTAAATATTTTTTTTTTTTTTTTTTTTTTTTTTTTTTTTTTTTTTTTTTTTAATTTTAAAGACAGAGTTTCGCTCTGTCACCTAGGATGGAGTGTGGGGGTGTGATCTTAGCTCACTGCAACCTCCACCTCCCAGGTTCAAGAGATTCTCGTGCCTCAGCCTCCTGAGTAGCTGGGACTATAGATGCATGCCACATGTCCAAAAAAATACAATTTTTTTGTACTTTTAGTAGAGACAGGGTTTTGCCACATTGGCCAGGCTAGTCTTGAACTCCTGGCCTAAAGTGATCCGCCCACCTCAGCCTCCCAAAGTGCTGGGATTACAGGCATAAGCCACTGTGCCCAGCCTTCACATAGCATTTAAAAACAAATTCTAAGGTGCAGTCCTTAACAGGTATACACACTGCTGAAATATCAAAGGGTTAATTTTTATTGTTGTGATAGGATACATCCTGGGAGCTGCTATATTCTGTCACAGAGGAGTCATATCGAAAAGCCAAAGCTTTTGTAAGGCAGAAACGCTGTCTTATATATCAGACAGCAAAACAGACTTGGCATTAAGATGCCAAACAAAAGAGAGTCCTTGCCCAGTACATTAATGGAGCTGGAGCTATTTTAATACATTATATAGCTTTATGCTATCAGGTTAAACCACAAAATAAAATTTCCCCAATATTGGGATATTGCAAGTTTTAATGTTACCTCTATTGGTCACAGAATATTAGAAAAACCTATAAAACCTGTCAGATAATGTTACCTCTATTGGTCACAGAATATTAGAAAAACCTATAAAACCTGTCAGAACTACAATGTAGATTACAGATAAGAGGCAGAAAATGGCAACTGTGACATGTACAGATTTATTTGCTGTCATCTGACTTGTTAGACATTTTTTTTTTGAGACAGGGTGTTACCCTGTCACCCAGGCTAGAGTGCAATGGCACGATCATGGCTCACTGAAGCCTTGATCTCACGGGCTCAAGCGATTCTCCAACTCACGCTCCCAAGTAGCAGGGACTGCAGATGCATACCACCATGCCAAGCTAATTTTATTTTAATTTTTTTAAGAGATGGTTTTGCCATGTTGGCCATGCTGATCTTGAACTCCTGGGCTCAAGCAATCTGCCCACCTTGGCCTCCCAATGTACTGGGACTACAGGTGTCAACCACTGTGGCTGGCCTTGTTAGATATATTCATTAAAAGAGTAATTTTAGGCTGGGCACTGTGGCTCACATCTGTAATCCCAGCACTTTGGGAGGCTGAGATGGGTGGATCACCTGAGATCAGGGGTTCAAGAACAGCCTGACCAACGTGGTAAAGTAGAGCCTGACCGTCTCTACTAAAGATAGAAAAATTAGCCAGGCGGTAGCAGCGTGTGCCTGTAATCCCAGCTACCCAGGCAGATTACTTGAGCCCAGCTACTTGGGAGGTTGAAGCAAGAGGCAGAGGTTGCAGAGAGCCAAGACTGCATCACTGCACTCCAGCCTAGGCAATAGAGCAAGACACTACCTCAAAAAAAAAAAAAAAAAAAAAAAAAAAAACACAAAAAAAAAAAAAAAAAAAAAAAAAGGAGTAATTCTAACTGCTAAGGACGGTTAAGAATAGAAGACCATACCTCTTAACCTGAGTTGAATGTATCAGATTTTTAGTGGGTGGAACATGACAAGGCATTGGTAATTCTCATATATACCTCCCCTTTGTTGAGAACTACTGTTTTAAAGGAAGCAAGAAAGGTATAGACAAACACTTTACTTGTTGATTTTTTCAACTAATCTCTAATTTCCTGGGTAAAATTTTGTAGGTAAAAAGAATCTAATGACGTATCAAAATATTTGAAAATGGTAGTTAGGAGCATAAACTCATGGAGTCGAGCTATGTTGAATTCCCACTCTTTACCTTCTTAGATAGGTGACTTTGAGCAATTTAACTAACCTAGCTATTGCCACAGCTTCCTCATCCGTATAATGGAAATAATATGATCTACCTTACAAGGAAGCTAAGAGTATAAAACAAGAGCCAGTTATGGTACTTACAATGACTGGTACATAATAAATCTAAATAATCACTGGACTTTATTCATTTACTTATTATGCCCAAGAATTTAAAAAAAAAGAATTACCTCCCCCCTCCCCCCAACCCCTAACACACACTGTATGTCCTCTTTTAGGAGATTAAGGCTAGAGACATCACTTCCTGGTTATTACTAGCCTTCTTCATTCATCATAGCCTCCAGTAACACACAGAAACATGGAATTTCAAAAACTAAAAGTGACTAAATACTAGAACTATCTTGTGAATTTCCTTTTATTTTCTAAATATTTTTCTTATTTTTGAGACAGGGTCTCACTCTGTCACCCAGGCTGGAGCGCAGTAGCACAAGCATGGCTCACTGTAGCCTTGAACTCCTGGGCTCAAGTAATCTGCCTGCCTCAGTCTCCCAAATACCTAGGACTACAAGTATGCATCACTATGCCCAGCTAAGTTTTTCTTTTTTAAAGAGACAGGGTTTCGCTATTTTGCCCAGTCTGCTCTCAGGCCCTAAATTTATATTTTCAATTTCTTGCTTTTATATAATTATATTAAAACTTAACAATTTTTCCTATTAGTTGGAATACTACTGGTATTAGTTAGTATCCAAATTAATCAGTCGTATCCCACTTACAGCCATTTGCTTACCAACATATGATCCACTGGCACAGAACTTCTTTTGGGACAACTTCAATAATCTGTCGTCTTCTACCTAAAGAAGCAAAACAAAGGCTACGATAGTACTAACACCATTTGGGGTTTTCGTTTTTGAAGAGGAGGGAGACAACATTTTTGGGACAAATGCTGGAACTAGCACAACCAAATGTCTCATGAGTTTACAAAATGCAATGGTGATGAAGATGGTAATATTACAGAAAAAAGTCCAAATAACTAAAACGCCAGAGGCAACAATGGTAAGTACATATGATTACAAAATACTTCAACAATATGTAGTCATTTGTGTCATTTATTACCAAATCCTGGATTTCAAATAACCAAGATATAACATACTTAAGATCACCTAAATCAAATGTAAAATTGGTCTACTGAGCTTCATGGATAAACTTACTACAAGAAATAGAATTGGAAAACTAAGAAAAAATTTAAGTGAGAAAGCAATGGCCACTTTGTTGCCATAGGGAAACTATTAATGAAGGTTAACACTGGATACTAATTATATATATAATCAGTTATATGTCACACAGATTTCCTTGAGTTGAGAGTTTTTAAACTGATTCAGAATTAGAGCAAAAATATTTATATTTGGGGAATATGAAGTGAGAAATAGATCATAATCAAGATATTATATGTTACACAGCTCTCCTATTCTCAAAAGAATTTTTTTTTTTTTTAAGACGGGTTTCACCATGTTGGTTAGGCTGGTCTTGAACTCCCGACCTCAGGTGATCCGCCCACCTTGGCCTCCAAAGTGCTTGGATTACAGGCATGAGCCACCACGCCCAGCCTCAAAAGAATTAAGAGCAACAGGCAGGCCTTTAATTGAATTAATATATTTTTTATTTATTTTTAGTTTTTTAGAGACAGGGTCTCACTATATTGCCCAGGCTGATCTTGAACTCCTAAGCTCAAGCAATCCTCCTACCTTGGCCTCCTAAAGTGCTAGGATTTTAAGTTTGAGCCACTGTGCCAGGCCATAGCCTTTTATTACAATGTAAAATGGAAGATGAGTTTGGCTGTGCCTGTAGACAAAAA